CTGTTGTCTACCACTATGTCACAGAAGTCAGAATAAGAGTGCAGAGGATATGGCCAAGTCCTGGAGGCTAATCGAGGAGTCCAAACTGCCTCCAGTATTTGCAGGAAGAAATGTACAGTAGATGCTTCATATTGGGTAAGAATCCCTGACCAAGAAAGAAAATGTTTTATATGCCATTGGCACATAATCAAAGGCTTTCTGGAGCTATTTAGATGCTTCAACGAATCAAGTATTAGTCACATAGGGCACCTATACATGTGTAGGGAGACTGCTCCAACACACTGTAATTACAGCACATTGGAGCAGACTCGATTAATCAAGTCTACAGGAGCGTGGTAATTACCTCACTACAACAGACTCCAGCATCAAGTGCATCAAGTGCCCATACTGAAAAATGGCAGAGAGGGTCTTTAAATAAGGCTCGTTTGACAAGGTTTAAAGTGCCCCCGCCACCATTTTTCAGCGTGAGGATACTGATACACATGATGCTCCAGGAGTTTTAATTAGAGCGGCTGTCGGAGCCACTCTAATTAAAGTGCCCCCGCCCCCCAATCTGAAGCATGTCTATAAATGCCCACAGAGCCAGATCTTGTGCCATTTGTTCAGGTTTTGTATCAACAACTCCACTGAATTCATATATTAAAAACCAGGCCAAATGCATTTAAAATATCTTTTTCCAGAGCTACTTCAAGAATCAAAATATACTGCAAACTAACATTTATATTAGAACATTAAAAAGACCCAAATTCTTTCCCGATAAACCATTTCCACATCTAGTAGAGGTTTTAAATATTATTAAATTAATTTAAAAGGAAAAGGTCAAGAATGTTAGACCTTTCTTCATCCTTTACATCTGTTTCCAAAGTCTATGTTATTCCTTATATGCATGTTTCCAAAACACAAGCTTTATGCTATATTTCCCTTGAAAAAAGAAAAAGAAAAAATCCACAGGGCCAACCACCAAAGTCTTGTGAATAAACACACAGTGGCAAAGCTTTAAAGAGATTGAAGTAAAAAACATCTGGTAAGGATGTAGATTTCAGCTTTGAGCTATTAGTGGGATAATTAAAAAAATAACTGCAACAAGAGCACTTTTTTTAAATATGAGGAGAAACTTAATAAGTGCCCTCTTAAGAAGAATTCTGAAAAATATTTAATTGATTTGCCTAATCTGTGGAGTGGAAAACTTTCTTGGGTTTCACTTGTCAAAACATGGAAGGAGATTTAAAAATGCATATGATTTTAAATTAGATCATTACTTGTATTACATATTGGTTTTATATCGACTATAATCTTGGCATCATATTGGGTTTGATCCTGTAGCCCTTATTTACATGTGTTCACTGAAGAACCTGCATGAGAGTTGTAGGACTTGGGTCTATCAATACATTTTTAAACCTGTTGCACTAAAAGTCACTTTGGAAACATCTTACCAGAGGTACTTTCTTTTCTTTTGGCACCTTTAAGTTTTTCACATTCTGGTGATGATGATCCCACAAGGAGATATTTGTCAACTGGCACAGATGAAGGACGTGCTTGCAAACTCCTGGCTGTACGTCTGAGAACTCCTTCCTTGTCTTTCAGTTCTGATGGCTCAGACACACTGTCCTTAAATTCGGTAGTTTCCTGAAAGCCCATTTTGCTTTTCTTTCTGCCTTTTGCTGGAGCGCTGGCTGTGCGTCGGAGAATTCGATCACCAATAGATCGCTTCCGTACACAATGCCCATTGTTTTCAGCAGAACTGTGCTTGGGATTCTTGTGAAACAGCCCTCTGAATCCTATCAGTTGCCTACTCTGAAAATAAAAGATCCACCACAAGCTTTAAGTAAGGTCATTACATTAAACTAATACAGCAGTGTGTTTCATAAATACTTATGACAGATGAATACAAAATTAAAATAAAAACAGCAAAGTAAAAATTCACACCAGACAATTCACATGTATTCCAACCAGGAAATTATCAGCATAGGTCTCCATGAATTCATGCATGTATGAAATTTCTCCTCATTAGGGTGGCAGCCTGACATGATTACAGTAGAGGTTTACTAAAAGTTTCTTAAATTAAAAATGACAAGACTGTAAGAAATGTGCTGTAGTGACAGGCTACCCATTAACTCGGAGTTTTATGACATGGGCTCCTCAAAGCAATGCTCAAATGTTCAGAATATTAATGAAGAATGATGCGATATGGTAGTTACAGATCATGCGATTAGGAATTGTTCAATAACTCCGTGTCTAGCAAGTGCAAAGTGCATGCCAATGAAGACTACCTTTGTGGCTCCTAGAAAGTGCAATATAGTATAACTGGGATTGAGGATTAAAGGACTCCACTGAAAGGGAAAGAAATGCAAATATATTTTTGCCTACTGCTTCCAAGATCATGACAAAAGCAAACAACAAGGTAGTTAGAGCCTATATCAAACCCTTTGAAAATGTTCATTAGTGTTATACCAATATCAGTCACACACATACTATGATTTCCCCAGGTATGGAAGTGCACTCCTTTTAGATGTACCTTGGAAACCCAATAATACAGTCATTATTAAACACCTGATGAATGGACTAAATTATACAAAAAAAGTCAAGACTCTTAGGGCTTTTGTTTAGATCTTCTGCTATTGTTAATTCATCCTATACAATTATACTAAGAACTCAAAAATTCACTTGTTTCCTTAACTGCATTCTCTCTGAAAACTCTGAGAGTCAACAGCAATAGTCTAATAGCAATCCCCACTGAATGTCAGGAACAATGACAGGGGATATCACTTGCATTTAGGGGCAGAACCCTTTATGCACCCAGCTGCTATTTTTGACACTTAAGCAGTTTGCAGTCTGACTCTATGCAAAGTAGGCTGAATTCTGATGGGGTAAGAATGTGGCTCCATACGTGTGCAACTGTCAAATTATGGATTGGCAAAAGCAGGAAGGAGAGTCCTTCTGCATATTAGTTCAATAGTCAAATGTCTTGGACACTCATGCAGGAGGCCCAGGTTTTAGGATCTGTCTCATCCAGGTGGGATTTAAACTTATGTAGCTCCAACTTCACAGCACCATGCTATAACCACCAGGCCACAGGTTAGGCATTTCCCAAGCTTTTCTCCAGCCCCACTCTTGAAGCTGAGCCAATGCACTTTGTATTTAATATTCATTACATAAAATGCATGGAAAACAGTAGGAAAAGTCCTGCCCTGTCAGAAGCCAGGCTAATATCCACGTTGTGTTTCCTTCTAGAGGAGCGTTCACCTCACTGAGCAATGTAGACTGCTGTCGGGTGAAAAAATAAACCCAAACAAACTGCGTTTTACAGGAAGCAGCAGCACGTTAGCTCAACCCAGCTCTGCAGCATCTGTATAAATTGCACACTTCAGCAGGGCTTTTTGGCACTTTTATCTAATAGCTGATTCAAACAGCTATTAGATAAAAGCACCAAAAAAGCCCCACTGAAGCACCTAATCTATACAGACACTGGGCAAGTCAGGTCAAACTAATGTGCTGCCTCTTCTGGGCATTCACTCGGCTTGGCATGACGGTGCATCAGGTTTAAAGTAAAGCTCCGGGTTTTGTTGGGTTTGCGGGGGGGGGAGGGGAGAGAGAGGGGGCGTTACATCTGTAAGCTGCTCAACTCTATATCTTACTCTCTTCCCCCTGCCCCCTCATAGCTTCTTTTCTTAGGTGCCTAGGGAGCAATCCAGAAAAGGAAGATTGGAAATGGCCTAACCTGCATCCTGGTAGCTTGGGTCCTGTGCTGAATATATCAGAGAGGTGCAGGCTCAAATCCCTTCTGGGGGAAGAGAGCCTAGAGCCTATGTCCCTCCTTCCTGTGTGATTGCCTTAACCACTGTGCTATTGGGCTAAAACAGCCTTGCAGCTGCTAGGAACTGTCATGACCCAAAGGCATGATTTTGTGTGTGCTTCGGCACCAGAATTATCCCCGCCAAGTTGCAGCTTCATTGCACGGGAGAGTTTCCTGTTGCAGAGGAAAACCCCAGTGCAGGGACGAGTTTCCCGCCTTTTCTGCAGCTTCTTTTGCAGGGTGCATTGCTCAAGTTGCAAGAGGAATGCACGGTGCAAAAGAGTTCCCGCCACCGGTATGCAAATTCGTTCCCCGCTATTGGCTAGTTCTAAATTATTCCCACGTGGCGGCTAGCGATTGGCCTGTTAGCCGTATAAGAGGCTTGAGCGGTTTCCGCCCAAGCCGAAGAGGACTCCACATCCATCTCGTGGGGACTCTGGATACACGGCAGGGTAGTAGAAACCCTGTGTGAGATTCAGAGGAGCTTGGCGACCTGATCCATCGCCCACCTCTTCCCGTCTTCGAGC